CAGAAAAAAAAAAAGAAAAAAAGAGAGCGAGAAAGAGAAAAAGAGAAAGAGAGAAAAATAGAGTGAAGAATATAATTTTTATCTGATGCCACGTTTGAAAAACTCATCCATTTTTCGGTTTCTCTTCTATCTTTTTTTTTTTAACGAATGCGTTTATCTTGTTTCCGATTCCCCGCCACGAGGGAAAAAAAAAAAAAAACATCTCAGACTCGAATTACACGAAAAAGTCGTATATAGACTCTCGAACATTTTTTTTTTTTTCGTTGGCTCCCTTTCCTTCTCCTCCTCTTCCTCCCCCCTCCCTGTCTTCTTCTTTCCTTCGACATGACAGAACGACCTTTAACTTATACCAAGAGTTTTATATATTACGAAAGAGAAAAAAGATAGATTTGGGTGGAAATAAAGAGGAGGTAAGGAGGAGAGTACAAAGAAGACGGGGAGTTCACGCGGGAACATTGGGCATAACGCAAGCGGGGAGAGGGAGGGAAGGAGAAAAGGACGGATATACTAACCGTTGCCCAAGGGGGAGGAGGAGGGGAGGGGTTTACACGAGATCGAAGGGGAAGGCAAAAAAAAAAAAATTTTATATATTTTTTTTTCTCGTTACTTTTTATGTTTTGCACGAGATGTCGACTTTGTACGGTGATGATCATAATATATAAATATTTTTTTTCCCCCCGTTTGGTTTATTACAAATAAGTATTATTATTATTACTTGATTTCCGTTTTTTATTACATTTCATTCGATTTCCGGTTTTATAAAGTAGAATTAAAATAAATTAATTTTATTTAAACGCGATCGGAAAAAAATAAAAAAAATATAAAAAAATTATCGTCATTAATATAAATATATAAATATATATATATATATATATATATATATATATATATATATATATATATATATATATATATATATATATATATATATATTATTGATATATATGTACGTAACCTCCTCCTTTTCATTTCGCTTGCAAAATCTATAAAATAATTAATTAATAATAATAATAAAAACACATGATAAATTTATAAAATTTATTAAACTATTCGCCACTTTATTTAAGTAAGTGTTTTTTAAAATTGCTCCCACGTTTCAAAATAAGTAATTAATTCAAAACTTAATTTTTTTTTTTTAATAACGTGAAAACAGGTTTTCTTTTTTTTTCCGATACCTGAATTTTTTTTTTTTAAATTTAGACGTTTTTGTTTTTGTTTTATTAATTCCACGAATATCAAAATCGGCGGTAAAGTTAAGAAAAAAACAACAACAACAAAACATTTTTCTTTCCGCCGTAACGTCTTTCTTTTGTTTTTTTTTGTTAATCATCATCATTATTATCATCATCATTTATTTATTTGTTTATTTATTATTCGTTTAAATCGTCGTTATTTCACGTGCGTAAATAAATAAATAAACATTACGATTTTTATTAGTCACGATAAAAATGCCTCGAGATGTTTTTTTTTTTCCTTTTTCCTTCCGGTAGTTATTATTATTATTATTATTATTATCATTATGGTGCAGACGTTACGCGAAAATTCATTGTAAATATGATGCAATTAAAAAAAACGTTTTATTTTTTTATAATCTTTCCATAATTTTTTTTTCCTTTTCCGATTCAGTTCGTTCGTTCGTAAAAAACAAAGATTATTATTATTATTAACGTAATAAAACTATAACGAACGTACGTTGGTTGTTACATGAAAATCTATAAGATTTTTTATATTTCAAAAGGTGAAACGAACAAGAAGAAGAAAAAGAAGAAGAGGAGAAAAAAAAAGGGAAACGAGTCACGAATGTAATTACAAAAAAAAAAAAAAAAAATAGCTGCACTTGCGATTAATTAATAATAATAATAATAATAATACATCTTTTTTTATTTTTTTCTTCTTTTGCATTCTTATATTAATTTTTATTACGTGGTAATAATTTAAAATATTTAACGATGTTTATTATCGGTGGGACACCACCGATTTACCGATTTACAAATGAGCTACCGCTAACCAAACCGCCTTTTTTTTAATTTACTCGAAATTATTACCTTTCGCGCAGAAGTTTTCATCTTTACCGCTTCCATCTTAAACCGAATATAATTTTTTTTTTCAAATACCTTTTATTAATTACAATAATATTTATATGTGTATGTGTGTAGGTGTGTGCGCGTGCGCGTCCACGAAAGAGAGTAATTTATATACACGAATAAAAAAAAATTTTTTTTTTTTTTGTTTTGTTTTTTTTTTTCACTTCCGATTCGTTTTTTTTTTTTTTGAAAATTTCTTCTCCCAATTAGGTAAAAGCATTTTCGTCATTATTATTATTAGTATTATTAATTATGACGTCATTAACGCCTCAAATCAATCGAATGATCTATGTAATTAAAAATTAATAAATTTCAATCGAACGTGATTTTTCGGAAAAAAAATTTTTTTCGCGTTTAAAATTTAGATTTTTTATTTTTTCGTCGCGGTTGTTTTTTTTTTTTTTTTTTCAAAAAGTTTGTTTGTTTGTTGTTGTTGTTGTTTTATATAAAACAAATATTGTAATTATCTAAGTATGCACATGACGTAAAAAAAAAAAATGATTAAATACCTCGAGGTTAAAATCGAATGTTTGATTTGCATATACCTTAATTAAAACTTATGAAAAAAAATTCATCATCATCATCATTATTATTATTATTATTATTATTATTATTATTATTATTATTATTATTATTATTATTTTATAACCGGTCAACAACAATCGAATATCGAAATCTTTTAATAAAAAAAAAAAAAAGGTAAAAGTTACACGAGTAGGTTCTCAAAAAAAAAAAAAAAACAAAATTTGTCTTCCAGGCTGAAACAATTAGTTTTCTTTTTTCTTTTTTTTTTTTTTTTAAAGCCTCGGGCATCGTCGAGGAAATACCAACGTTAAAAAAAAAAAAAAACGAAAGAATTTTTTTTTTTTCACATGTTAATGTCGTCACACGAAAAAAAATTTTTAATTTTAACAAGAAAAAAAAAGGAATAAAATTATCATTATTTATATTAGTTTTTTTTTTTTTTAAATGTACTTTATTTACGTATCCATCCTTTTCTTTCCTTTTTTCCTGCTTTCCTGTCGGTCTTTTTTTCCTGCTGGAAAATATTCTCTCTCTCGCATTTTCATTACAATTAACAATTTCGAGACGGTGTAAAAAAAAATTTATGCACGTGTGCACGTGTGGGCGTGTGCGTGTTTGTAAACGCGAAAACTATTATTCGAACGAGTCGTTATGATAAAAAAAATTTTGATTGATAAGGTGTTATCAGGTACATAATAATACTTATTATTATTATTATTGTTGTTATTCATTGTTTTGCGAATCGTTTGATTGCTTATATGAAAATCAAAGTGAGAATTGAATTGAAGTTCAATCTCCAGTTAATCTCCAGTTTTTCTCCAGTTTTTTTTTTTTTTGTTAATGTCATTCAACGTTACGGTCGGGTCGGTAGTTGTAAAAAAAAAAATTTTAAATTAAAGAATTGTTTTTTTTTTTTTTTTTAACACTAAGAGTAAGTTAATTTTATAAATGTTATTCGACCTTTGATCTCCCCTTTTCGAGTTGTAACTATTGTTTCGTTCGTGGGATATTAATTTCATTATTAAAAAAAAATTAAACGGTTTTTCCTGCTCCCCCACTTCCACCTCCTCGTGACGAATGAGTTTTAGTTTTATGTAAAGTACAAACGAAACTATATATATATATATATCTCGCGGTTTTAACGTGTCAATAGAATATTAAAAAGAATGAATGTGACGACGCGTGAATGTTAAAGTGATGGTGACCCGACGGTCGATTGGAAAATTTTCATTTCAACCACCGTCGGGATTTTTTTTTATTTTCTCCAGTATTTTCCTCTTTCGTTTTCCCGATGTCAAAACAAAAAAAAATTTTCCTACCGTTATAAAAATTTTAATAAAAATCTGCTTACGTCACTGACGATATAAACGTTCCTTATCCGGGATCTTTCGTTTTAACGGAAATGAAAACAAAATTTCGTTCGTACCTTAAATTTTTTTTTTATTTTCAAAAAAAAAAAAAAACCGAACGCGTAGAAAATCAAAAATAAACTAAAATATAAATAATGTTTAAAAATTTAAATTATTTTTTTTTTTTTTTTAAACAAAGTTATCAAAAAGTGGAGGAAGAAGAAAAAAGAAAAGAAAAAGAAGAAAGAAGAAGGAAAAGAAAAAAAGAAAAAGAAGAAAAAAAAAAACTTCGCTGTTTTTATTGAGATGTTTGTCACAAGAGACGTAAATCAATGGTCAATTGAACAATAAACGTCTTCTTTTTCGTCTTCTTCCACGTTGACTTGTATAAATGACGTCTTTTATGTTTCCTTTTTTTTTTTTTTTATTTCCTGGTGTAGTTAGAGAGTGCCACAATTTTAAATAAATTTAACAATGTAACAAAAAAAAAACCTTTTTTTTTCCTTCTTTTTTTATATCGTCGAATAAGTAAATATGAAAAGGTGAACGAAAACAAAACAAAAAAAAAAACACAAACAGAGTGCAATGACCTTTAAATTTTCAAGAAATTATTCTTAATCGGTTTTCCCTGCATGGTTTTAATGTTCTACCAAATTAACGAAAAAATAATTTGCAAAAAAAAAAATAAAAACGAACGGAATCAAACAAATTTCCTGTTTATTTTGTTTTTAGTAATGAAATAAAAATTCGATTACAAGAAAGTTAAGATCAAGAAAGTGGAAAAATGGTTCTTGTTTAAAGAATTGGAGAAGAAAAAAAAATAGATTCGTGGAAGAAGACGAAAACAACAAGCAAACCCCAGTTAAAAAAAAATCGTCTCTATTCATCCAAGTACTCATTATTATTATTATTATTTTTTTAGATAAAGGTAAAACTGGAACAATTTATGCTCTGACATTTGCATAATGGAGATCAAATTGTTTACATTTATTAAAAGGAACAAAACAAAAAAAAAAAGAAAAAAAAGGACGAGATTCTACACTTAACTTGTTCGAGAAAAACAAATGACCATAATAATATATTGGCCAGTCCGACGACTCAATTTGGATATGAGGCGACAATGGCTCATCGGGTGGCCTTCTTGCAAAAAATGATGTCATAGTCGTGAAAGAATAAAAAAAAAAGAAAAAGGCTCTGGTCGTTGTTTTGTTTTTTATTTCTTTTCGTGTTGTTCCTGTCATTTTTTTTTCTTTTAAGTCAAAAAAAAAAAAATATGGGAGGTAGGTCTCTGTGTCTTGTAGAAATTAAAAAACAAAACAAAAAAAAAAAAAAAAAACACTCACCGAACTGACTTCGCATCCATGGATATAAAGGACTAGGTAAATTAGAAGAATTATTATTGGACTGTTGTCCTTGAGGTCCCTGAGAACCCTGGGGTCCAGGTCCCTGTTGATGTGCAGCCAGTTGATGTTGAGGACCCGGCTGCTGTTGTTGCTGTTGCTGCTGCTGATAGAGCATGTGTTCGTGTTGTTGATACTCTTGCTTCATGTGATTATGATGCTGCATTTGCAAGTGGTGATGCGGTTGGTGGTTCATGTGATTGGCATTGTGATTATTTAGAGGTTGAGGTACGTCGAGGGGAGGCGTGACCTGTCCCGCAACAATGTTTTGCTGCACTCCCGCCGCCTGTAACTTGCAACTGCTGTACACTACGGGAGTTTGGTGACCGTTCGGTGGACCTCCCATGTGTCCGATGCTGGGAGAATTCGGTCTACCGTATGAGTTTGTATCCACGCTATCGACACCCAATTCCTGTTGCTGATAATAAGCCGCGGCCCGAATGTCGACTCGATCGTACGGCGGAAACCGCGGGTAGGGCATGCCCTGCGGGGGTTGACCGCCCGTCGGCGGTCCCCCATAATGATGCGGAGGAATGCCTTGCCTTATTTCACCACCGTTACAACTATGATCACTTTCACCTTGAGGAACCGCTCCGTAATGTTGGTGGGGGTGTCCCTCTGGAACAACCCCCCCATTCCTCATGTCTGGCATATATTGATTAGCAAAATAAGAACTCATGACTAGATTTTCACCGATAATAATTAACTTTTCTTTTTTTTTTTTTTTCTTTTTTTTTTTATACACAAAAACTTTTACGTAACGAAAAACATTTTTCTTTTCTTTTCTTTTCCTTTTTCCTTTTCTATTCTTTTCTTTTTTTTGTTGTATAATTTACATTTTATTACTTTTAAAATAAAAAAAATATATATATATATTTATAATTTTTTTTTCAATATATACGTAACCTAGACACGACTTAACTCCCGACAAACAAAATACCGAAGATTATTCTGATGATGATAAAACCAAATATTTTAAACCGCGAAATAAATAAAACTTAAAAAAAAAACCAAAGAAAAAAAAAGAAAGAAAAAAAGAAAAAAAAAAAGGAAAAACTTTAAAAAACCAAATGAAAACGAAAAGAAAAAAAAAATCGCTTTTCTTTCGTTTTTTTTTATAATTTCTTATAAATTTCGATTTGTAACTCGTACGTCTATTGAGGACCTTGCATTCTAACACCTCCAGATGCAAAAATATTCTTCCTGTATGATGAAAACGTTGTGTCACTGAAGAGGTTATTGTTGTTTTCGACCAATAAGAATCCCCAAAGCATCCGCCCCTGCAAAATAATAAAAAAAAAAAAAAACATTAGCACAATTTGTTATAAATAAATAACCGAAAAAAAAATACAAATGGTGATAATAATAACAATAAACAAATAATAATTGAAAAATTTTACAACAAAAGTTGCAAAAGGGAAGGAAGAAAGGAAGAAACGAAACCTTAGAAGAATAACAATTTAAAATCAGGTTTTTGATAAACCTTATGGACGATGACGATTTCCAGGTTTTCTGGACATTGAAACGCTGCCTTCCCTGTCGTTTTTAAACGGATGTGCCCTAATAATAAAAAACCCCCCACCCCCCTCACCACGAAATTTCAAATCATTCATTACGAAAAATAAAATAACAATTTCTAAGGGTTGGTCCACGGTTTCGAGGAACAAAAAAAAAAAAAAATCCGAAACGAAACCCTTCCCCCTCCCCCCACCCACCCCCCTCATTCCCCCAACCACCCGATTTGGTGCATTTAACGATTTCAATAGAGACATCAAAATGAAATTATTTAGTTTGACATTTGGTTAAATAATAAAACTACTACTACTCGTGTAAGAAACATTCACCTCGAATTTTATTCCACTATTATTATTATTATTATTATTATTTATCAACATCGTCGTTATCAGTGCATTACGTAATTTTTCTTTCTCTCTTTTTCCATATTATTATTATTATTATTTTAACCACGTTTTTTTTTTTTTTTAATCATTTTTCATTTATTATTAATAATTAAAAAAAAAAATTTTTTTTTTTTTAATCTCGGGTTATTCGTATTAAACTTGTTTCATTCGCCCCCTTCTCCCCTGAATACTTCGAAATGTAATTAACTACTACCACCCCCACCACCACCACCACCACCGCCACCACATCCATACAACTTGACAATATTTAAAACATTTAAAAATTACATATCGCGACACGGCGAAACGTTGTAATTATAATCGAAACCAAAAGGATTAATAAGAAAATTATTAATTTATCATCATCATCATCATTATTATTATTATCAAAAATCAATTTATTTAACGACCGTCAGGTAGCATCGTAGCATTTTTTTTTTATTCACTTATTTATTAATATTATTATTTTTGCTACGCACACCCACGTTTATGATGATGGCGCATACCTAAATAGGCCGGCACTCAGTCCCATTATCGGGTAGTAGTAGTAGCAGAAGGTTTTTTTTTTTACGCCGCGTAACTTTTTAAAATTATCATTATTATCATTTATATATATATATATATATATATTTTCCGGTTTCAGCCGCCAACGTAAGTATTTCCCTCAAAACCAAAACCAAAACAAAAAAAATGGAAATAAAAATGTGTTACTGAGCTGTTTTTTTTTTTAAATTTGAAAAAATGTTTGTTAAACGAATAATAATAATAATAATAATAATAGGAGGACGAGGACGAGGACGAAAGCGACGACGATCATCAATTTGTTCCATGATATAAATTCAACTCACGATCATATCAGTATTTTTCATTCATTTTATTCTCTACGAAAAAAAAAAAAAAAAAAAAAAAAATTATATATATATATATATAAACGCGAGCGTAAATGTTCTCATTCGAAACATACATATATTTTTTATTAAAAAAAAATCGATAATGATAATTAAAAAAGAGAGAGAGAGAGAGAGAGAGAGAGAGGATCGTACACAAAAAAAAAAAAATTATCACAGGGAAAAATGCGTCCGTCCCGCGTAAAAATAAATATTTATACGACAGAGAAAAAAGAAAAGAAAAATATATAATAAAATATAATATAATTATATAATGAAAAGCATAATTTAATTTTCTTTATAATTTATTTTACGCGAAAAATAAACAAAGAAATTATTATTATTATTATTATTATTTTAATAAGAAAAACAAATTTGCCAATTTTTATCGTCGAAATCGTCTTTGTGTATACATATATATTAAAAAAAAAAATTTAAATATAAATATATAAAAAAATTTATAAATTTTTGTGTGTGCGTGCGTGCGTGCGTGAGTGTGCGTATATTTATAAATATATAAATATAAAATTATAGAATGGCAAAAAGACAAAAAGGTGATGATGATTTGCGTCCGTGCCAAAAACAATAAAGAAAATCAAAAAAAAAAAAAAAAATTTAAGGTTAATTATTTCCGACAGTAATTAATTTTCAGGTTTTTTTTTTTTTTTTTTTATTCTGCTACCACGAAAAACGATTTTATATATTTTTTTTACGCAATACAACCACGCACGCTCGAGTATATGTTTACGTATAAAAAAAAAACGTGGAACGAAATTTATTTAATTTTTTTATGTTTATCAATATTAAATTAAAAATATTATTATTATTATTATTATTATTATTATTATTTATTAGGATTAAAATACATACGCGAGAGTCACACGGTGGACGCAAACGAATAATAATAATAATAATAATAATATTCGATATGTAAATAAATAAATAAATAAATAAAGTTATCGCGTACTACTTAAACTTCTTTAACAATATTCGGAGGTTAAAACTAATTAAAAACTAAAATTAAACTTTACCACAAAGACAGAAAACTAAACTAAAACTTTTTTCTTTTTTTTTTTTGATTGCAAACGTGAGGAGACATTTTTAACCCAAAAAAAAAAAAAAAATTTTTTTTTTTTTTTAAATAATTGCAAACAGAAGAATTTCGAAAAAAGAACAAAAAAAAAATTAAAAACAACGACGGGAATAAATAGTTTTTTACATAAGTTAAACGTGAAGGAAACATGATTACGAACAATAAAATTTTTTTTTTTTTAATGCCAAATTAAAAAGGAGCTTTTGATGAAAAAAAATGGGGAATCTCCCGAATAAGGAAATTATAGGAAAAAAATGGTACACATGCATCCTCAATAAGCGTTCTCATTCATGTCCTTTTAGAAATTTTTTTTTTTATGTTATCGTCATCATCATCATCATCATCATTATCGTCATTATCATCATCATCGTTTCAATAATATTTAATGCCGTTAAATTTTCAAAATTTTTTTTTTTTGATTTAATTTCTTCCTTCCGAACTTTATCCCTTTTCCTTCCTTCTCTTCATCATTACCACCTCCCTAAATTTTTTACTTACTCCTCCCTTTTCCTCCTCCCACATGTATGAGATTTAATTTTCGCTGACTTTCTCACGTTTCTCCCTATTTCTAAATTTTGACGGGGAGGGGGAGAGGATGCGTGCGGAAAAATTCGATAAAAAAAAAAACAAACAGATTTTAGAAAAAAAAAAATTATTCGATCGCGTTAATCATCTCACCTTGATGGAACAAAACTATAATTATCAATCATTCGTTTTTATCCTTCTCTCCTCTCCCACCTCCCTCCTCTCTCTCTCGCTCTCATTTTTCGGGCTGTTAAAAACGTGAAATTAGTTTTTTCAATCTTTTTTTTTTCGGGGTTTTAATTGTTATTTAAACAACAACAACAACAACCAAAAAAAAAAGTGTGGAGATAAGAGAAATCATCGTCGCGTACATCCGAACGTAATCACGAAGGTGATTGTGAAGTGTAACCGTGAAAATTTTTTTTTTTTTACGAAAAAAAAAAATCGTAATTAATTCGCAAACAACAAAAACATCAACAAACGAATAATAATAATAATAATAATTATCATTTTATTATCGAATCACGGCAGAAAAATCATTAAATTCCCTTCTCTCCCCCTCTCTTCCTTACCCCTCCTCGTTCCTACCACATTGAAAAAGTGGTAATTGATTCATTATTAACCACGTGTGATCTTGAAAACACGTGCAAAAAAAACTAAACGAATCTTTTTCTTATTCCCTACTCTTCTTCTCTCCCACCTTCTCTTCCTCCCGCCCTTCTTTCCTCCTCTCCTTCTCTCCAAAAAAAAAAAAAAAACAAAATGTGGGAGGAAAAAAAGAGGAAAATTTTTTGTTCTAACCTGATATTTAATTACCGAATTGCTGATTCTGGAATTTCACGTCGTTTATCATTTTCATTTTTTTTTTCTTTTCTCAAATTTTTCCACTCCAGAAAAAAGGAAAAATAAAAACAAAAACAAAAAAAAAGGTTCGGCGACCGTTGTAAACGAAAAAAATAAAAATAAAAATTTTCCGAGTTAAAATTTTTTTTTTTTTTTTTTTTTTTTTTTTTAAAAGAGCGAAACAAAACTTTCGAATGACACGTTGTTTGTTGTTTGTTTGTTTTTTTTCTTTTTTTATTTTTGAAAAAGTTCGTTTGTCAGTTGCGATAACAACAAAAAATTCTTACGAACGACCGAAAATGTGATCGATAAACCCCCCAAAAAAAAAAAATTCGAAAAAAGATGAAAAGGAGACAAGGCGAAAAGAAACAAACAAACGCAACAAACGGATTTTATTTATTAAAAGAGTCGGAATAATGAAAAATTACTTCTTTGTTGAGAGTCGGACATCATTAACACTACAAATTATAATTAAATTGTAATTAAATACCAAAAAAAAAAAAAATTCGCAACAACAACAACAACAATGAATTTACGGTCGTTTGAATTTTAATTTAATGCATTTAAGAATTCCTTTTAAAATTTTATTATCATTATTATCATTATCATTATTATTATTATTATAAAACGCCGTCGTTTTTTTTTTTTTTTTTTTATAAAAATATAAAAAACACGTGACTTTTTTTTGTTGTTGTTGTACCTGTGGCTTCTTTGTCGGTATGAAAAAGAAATTTTTTTTTTTTTTACCAAAACTTTCTATTTTTTTGTTTGTTTGTTCGTTTGTTTGTTTTGGTTAGAAAAAAAAAATATTTGTATAATTTTTTTTTTTCTTTTCTCAAGACGTCAGTTTGTGGTGAAACTCACGGAAATCAGGTGAGAAAAAGAAATAAAAATTTTTTTTTGGAACTGGAACCTGAAATCGAGAGATTTTGACGTGTCACCATCAAGTGAGTACAAAAATTTACATTAACATTTTTTAAAGTTACTACAGCGTCGTCGTGGCGACAGAATTAAATTCGTAATTTAAAAAATAATTATTTTAAAATGAGAAAACAGTCAAATTTTTTTTTTTCAATGACGTTTAAAATTGTTCGTTCGATCGTTCGTGGCAGCAGCAGCAGTAGGTGATTTCGAAATAAAAACGATTTTCATATGAAACAACAACAACAAACAAAAAAGCAAAAGAAAAAAAAATTTTTAAAGAAAAGAAAAGAAAAAAAAACAAAAAAGAGCAAACGAGGTGCATTAATAAAATATTCCTGTGGGAAATGGATAAAGAAGGAAAATGGCGGGGATAAGGGAGAAATAGAATAATACATTGCTGTTTAAAAGGGTGGTTTTAACCCCGTGTTAAAGGGTTTATCTCTTTTTGTTCATTTTTAACCTCACATTTTGGCACTTTAATATGCTTTTAACGAATTTCTTTTTTTTTTTCTATTGCCCCGAATTTAAATGCATTTTTTCTTTTTTTTATCAATTCCTACATTCGGGTAACGACAACACTTCGTCCGCCATATTGTTTTTTTTTTTTAAATAATTTTTTTTCGCGCGCTTTTTATTTGCGAAATCGATCAAGCGAAGATTTTTAAAGGATGACGTAATATATTAATTTATTATTAATATTGTGGTATCCCCTCGTGTGGACGAAAGAACTTTTTTTTCGCTTTAACCCCCTCTCTCACCCCCCCCTCCGGTTAAAAATAAGAACAAAAGTGAAACCGCGAAAACAATGAACACGAGAAGATGATAGGGAGACAGTGAGGGTTACAGAAAACGACAGGGGAGGAAGAGAGTGAGATAGAAAAAGAGAAAGTTAAAAGTTTGTAAACGAGAACGAAAAGGGTTGAAAATTTTAGAAAATACTCCAAAGGGATGAATATGATGATGATGATGATGATGATGATGAAAAAGAAGAAGAAGAGAGGTGGATGGCTGGCTGGCTGGAAGGAAATTTTTGGAAAAGGTTGGGAAGGTTTGAGGAGGTGTTAGGGCAGGATTCTCAGATGAATTAATACATTTATCACTCGCACTGTCAGTGACGCCCTCATTTTCATCCTCTGCTTCCACTTTCTCCCTCTCTTTCTCTCTCTCCTGCTTTCCTTTCAAACCTTTCCACCGCTTTCTACTCTTTTACGCTTTTCTACTCTTTTATATAT